AACATTTACGAGTATAGGAAAAGTTCTCCATCTTGACTGTAGTGATGGTGACTCACTATCCACATCCAGTATCGTGTATGGTCCCCTGAGCACTGCAGGCAGACAGGAAGGAAGGAAAGAAAGAAAAAGAGAAGGCCAGACAATAGTACAGCTGGTAGGCCATTTGCCTTGCATGAGGCCAGCCTGGGTTCAATCCCTAGCATCCCATGTGGTCTCCCAAGCCCTGTCACGAGTAATTCCTTAGCGCAGAGCCAGTAATAACCCCTGAGCATCACCGGATGTGACCCAAAAATCCAAAACAACAACAACAAAAAGAGTGAGAGAGGAAAGAGAGAGAAAGAAAGAAAGAAAGAAAGAAAGAAGGGAGGGAGGGAGGGAAGGAAACAGGGAGAGTACTAGCTGTTGCCCCTGGACCTGGCTCAGCAGGGGTGCCCAGGCCCCAGTGTAAGGGACTGAGCTCCCCACTCAGCAAGGCTGAGGGCTGGGGAGAAGAGAGGCAGGGCCAGAGTAGCAGGCCAGCCCGTGGGCTGCATCACATCAAGTGGCTTCTTCCTGAAGTTGCTCAGTCACTCCCCCCCCATAATTATCTGTCTGCTGATTCAAGAACTGTGGTTTCTGCGGGCATGCTTCCTGGCTCTTCCTGCCAGCAAGGGCAGAAGGATTCCTGGGGCTGGGAGGGATGATAACCAGAGAGCCCTAGAAGGGTGGGGAGGAGTGGAGGAGAATTTCTATTAGGAAATTCCGGAGTCCTCGCCAAACTCCCCTTCCTCACTGTGGCCTCCTTACCAAGGGTGATGTCCCCAGGAGACCTCGGCCACCCTGACAAGGGAGGGTGCAGTGCCGCCTGGCCCTCCTCCAGGAGGGGCCCTCACAGAGCTCCCTGAGCCCCAGCAAACTCAAACAGGGGCCGACAGCAGACACCACACAGAGTTCTGTGTGCCCAGAGAAGCCCTGGTCTGCCAAATGCGAACAGCCTCTTGAAGGTCCCGCTGAGTCCCAGGATGGCTGAATTAATGAACGCAGGGATTTGCTTATCAGGATTCTGACATGTGGCTGTCATCTCTAGAGACCCACCCGAGCTTCCCACGGACACTTATCGTGCCTCCTCTGTGCCAGGTACTGAGCACCAAATGTTGAGCAAGACAGACCTGGCATTCTTCTGGTGCTTGGAAGCCTGAGGCTGATGTTCCTCCTTCCCAGAGACAAGGCTTAACGCTTCCCCAGGGAGGGAGCAAATGCAGGAGCCTTTCCCCTCCGTGGCCTCCACCATGGGGCTTACGCTGGGTTCAGAGTGGCTGAGAAACGCCCCACAGCCGCAGCCGGTGTGGAATGGGCCCCTTCACACAGAGGCATGGAGAGAGGACCTCTCACTCTCCTTCCAGAGCCTTCAGACATGAAGCAGAGTAGACAGCACAGGCAGAAAGAAGCTGCCGTTGACTGAGCACTCCTTTTTCACCCTCTCTCTCACACAGGCAGCACACTCACAGAGGCTTTGTTTGGTTCTGGACACAGAGGGAAAGCAAGCCTGAGGGCCTGAGACAGTCAGTCATTTAGCCCAGGTCATGCAACCAATGGCAAAGTCGGCTATCACGCCCACACCTGAACACCGTCAGCCCACAGCAGTCTTTTTCCTCAGCCAAGTGTTTTCCTATGTGTCTGTGGCAGAGTTTTCAGGAAATAAACTCCGCGAGAGAAGTGAGCAGCTCAGCTCACAGCTAGTACACCTAGATGGTGAACTTGTAAGCAAGCAGAACTTGTAAGCCATGGGGCCAGAGGAGACAACAGCGGGGAGGACGCCTGCCTTGCACGTGGCCAACCTGGGTTCGATCCTCGGCAACCCATATGGTCTCCTAAGCACTGTCAGGAGTAATTCCTGAGTGCAGAGCCAGAAGTAATCCAGTGAGACACCCCCCCCCCCCAAATAAAAAATCTCAACCGAAAAAACAACTTGTAACCCGTTTGCCCTTGGGGTAAAATCAAGATCTAAATGGGAAAGTCACAAAACCAAGCAACATTGCATGGGTAAGGCTGAAATGACGGTACATGCTGGCAAGTATGAGGTTGTTTTAGGGCAGTACTGATTTTCGGGGTTCCATCCCTGGTAAGTCACACACACACACATCATCATCATCATCATCATCATCATCTTTGATATATAGAATTTCAAAACCCAGTAAAACTTCAGGTTTTATTTTACCTAAAAGTACCTCTCTTCTCCCCATCCTCAGCTCTCCAACTCTGGGGTGACCTCTGCCAGCAAGGGCAGAAGGATTCCTGGGGCTGGGAGGGATGATAACTTCCCCTCCTTCCCTTTCTCCTTGCTCTGGGACAAAAGGTGTCCCACACCACACTCCACCACTCCAGGCTCTCCAGACACCTTCAAGCTGGCCACCAACACTGGAGCTGGACTAAGTACAATGCCGGGAGGGACTTACTTCTGGGTTTACTACTCTGCGGGTCTGACCCGGAGCTCCTACTTGCCTACTGGGCTACTGTTCCTCTCAGAGGGAGTCCGGAGCTAAAGGAGTACATCCATGCTGGTGGAATCACCTCCGTCACGAGGACGAATCTGTGAAAAGTTCTCCTAGAGGATGTTTAGGGTAAATTAGGCACTCTAGAAGCACAGTGGCGGTCCTATAAAGATCAGCTGCGTTTATTTCCTGAAAACTTTCCAACAGAAACTCCCCGGACCCGGAGACACATAGGAAAACTTTTGGCTAGAGAAAAAGGCAGTTGTGGGTTGAAGACGGTGAGATGTGATTGCGACTTTGCCACTGGCTGTGTGATCTGGGCTAAATAACTTACTGTCTCAGGCCTTCAGGGTTTCCCTCTGTTACATGGACCAAACAAAACTTCTGTTATTATGCTGTGAAACACATCAACAAAAGATGAACTAGGAGCCAGGTGTGGAGGGAGATGCCCAAATAGCACAGTGCTTTTCATCACTAATCTTAGATCAATAACCCAACTAGACCTTATTCACTTCTAGACCACAAGTAAATACAATGTTTAGATGTAGAGATTATTCCAAAATAAAGGAAGTTGGGGACTGAAGAGATGGTGCAGCAGGTAGGAAGATTGCCTTGCACATGATCAACCTGGACTCAATCCCTGGCACCTCATATGGTCCCTTGAGCCCTGGAAGGAGTGATCCCTGAGAGCAGAGCCAGAAGGAAGCCCTGAGAACTGCTGGGTGTGGCCCCCAAACAAAACAAAAACAAAAAAAGAAAGAAAGAAAACTATAGATGTGAAAAGAAAGCAAGACATATTTCTAAGTTCAGAAGCTGGAACCAAGCTGGAAAACCATAGTACAGTAGGTGGGTGCTTGCCTTGCACGTGGCTGACCTGGGCACCATATATGGTCCCCTGAGGCACCAGGAATGATCTCTGAATGCAGAGTCAGGAGTAAGCCCTGAGCACCATCATGTGTGGCCCAAAAAAGAAAAACAAATCAAGTTTATAGAAGCAGGCATCTCATAGAATACAGCTGAGAAGCCCTTCTGGATTTCTTCCTTGCCCTTGTTAACAGCAAGGCTAGGGAGATGGCTCAAGGGGCTAGGGTGCATGCACTGCAGGTCAGAGTGGGGGGTTTGGTCCTTGACAAAGCTGGAAAGGTTCCCTGAGCACAGCCAGGAGTGACCCCAGATCACTGAGTAGCACCTGAATCCCACCTAGCACACACACACGGAGCAGATCTGAACCAGGGTTCCAACCAACTCCCCGGGCAAAAGGCTGGAGATTCATATTTCTGTAGGGGGGTCATCAGGTTGCTCTGGGCTGCTTAAGGACATCAAACTGGGAACAGCCACTGACACAATCCTCTCTATCACCTGTAACTGCTCCTATCAGAGCGGGGGTGATTATCTTCAAACTCACCAGGATGGGCTGGAGAGATGGTACAGCAGCTAAGGCACAGAACATCCCAGTTCCATTCCCGGCTCTGGTCACAGAGCATACAGCCAGGAGGAAGCCCTGAACATTGCTGGTTGTGTCCCCCCAAACAGAAACAACAACAACAACAACAACAACAACAACAAAAAACCTCATCAGCTGTCCATACCAAACACCAGGAGATTTGGGGGGTTGGGAGGGCACACCTGCCTATGTCAGGGATGGCTCCTGGCTTTGCTCCGGGGACTACATGTGTTACTGGAATCAAGGCAAGTGCTTTAACCCTTATACAGTTTCTCCAGGCCAACATAAAGGCGCGTTTTGTCGTCTAAACACAGCTCAACAGTCATTTTACAAAAAAGCATATTGATGGCGCAGCCCTGTCATGTATGAGCACAAACACGCATCTCTTAAAGGCTGGCGAGAGTCTTGGAGGCTTCATCAAAGCATTTCAGAAGAGCTCTTTGAAATGGACCTATCAGTACATCTCACTTCTTGAAATACCTTCTTTTGCAGGACCGAAAGTTCTGCTTTCTCTACCGAAAGTGCATAGAAGCGCCCCGGGGCCCCTCTGCGTGGTGGTGCGGGGGGGGGGGGGGGTGGGGGGGAGGAGACGCTCGCTGACCCCGGAGCCGGAGCTGTCCCTAGGAAGGCGTTGCAGGGCCGCGGGCAGCACCCGGAGGCCGGGCCCCGCTCACCCTGCAGGAGGGAACGTGCGGGAACTCCTGCCAGCGCCGGGACGCGGAAACTTCGAGGGTGCTGGGCCGGGTGGGAGAGGCAGCGCTGCTCCGGAGTCCGCGCAAGGACCGTGCAGGAGGCGGCCCCGCGTCCCCCCGCGAGCAGCCGCCACGTCCGAGCAAACAGAAACGTGGGACAAAGTGGAGCGCGCCGAGAGCCAGAGAAGCACCCGGCGCCAGCTGCACGCGCGCGTTCCCCTAGAGGCAACACCCTCGCCCCTCCGCGAGCGCGGGAACGGCCCCGGGAATGCCAGCGCGGGTTCCCCCACCCCCACCCCAGACAGGCGCCCGCCCGATTCTGGGGTTGCGGGGTCCCGGGGACCGGCCCCCGGCGCGCCCCCCTCTCGGGCGGGCCCCGAACGCCCCACTCACCCGCGCCCGCGGCCGCCAGCGCGCCCAGAACTAGCGCGCCCAGCGCCGCCGCCCCCAGCGGCCGCGCCCGCATCTCCGCAGCCGCCGCTGCCGCCGCCGCGCTGAGCCTCGGCCGCACCCGCGGTCCCCGCAGCCGAGGGGAGGGACGCGGTGGGTGGGACGCGACGGGGCGGGCCGCGGGCCGCGCTTCCTACACTCCGGCCCTTTTCTGGAGCCGGCGAGCCGAGGGGGCGGTGGGGGCGGCTCCTGCCCCCGCCTCGCCTCTCCGGGGAGGATCCGCTACGCGCCACCGGCCCGAGCGGGCGGGAGGACGCGCGCCCTTGCTCCTGGGGGGTCTGCGTCCCGCTGCTCGGCGTGCTCCGAACGGTCAGGACCTGCGCCTCCTCTCCGGATTTCGGGCCTCCGCCTAGGGGACACCCACGGCGCTCCTCCACCTGCTCCGCTGGGACATTTCTCTGTACCCCATGTTCCATTCTTTCACACTTCCGTTCGTGCAACTGACAGATCTGTCGCAAGCCTGTTCTGTGCCCAGCACCGTTCAGTCTTTCATTACTTGGTTCTTTTTGGCGGACGGGGGGGGGGAAGCGCTGATGGCCTGGGAGGATATCACACACACACACACACACACACACACACACACACACACTTATGTATATATTTAATCGCCCAAGATGGAGCCACTCATGCTAAGTCCCAAGACTTGATAACTAACCTATATGAAGTGTCAGTCTCTCCCTGGAGTGGAATTGTTAACCGACCAGTCTAAGATGACTTCATCAATACATAGTAGTGACGTATTTGACCATATAAAGCCCCTTTTGTGTCCATAAGAGAAAGTGCCCTTGCCTGAAACAACTCTTCTTTCCCCTTTGCTAATAGCCCCCTTTGTCCTGTCTGGTTCGTGCCCATAAAACACTGTTTCCCCCATGCATATTAGACCGTATAGTACGCTTTGTGGGCTACTTATTTAGAGTTTGTCTTCCTGGGAAGAGTATTATGTTTTGTTCTGTTAGGCTGTTAAATTATTGGCAGATTCTTTTGACCTAGTCAGGTGAGGCTTTGTTCTTATGGGGGTTGGTCTATTTCTCTCCGCCCTTAGAGGGTGAGAGGGTATTGTTTACTACACAGCACAGTCCTTGCTCTTAAGGCTGCAGACACTCAGGGGTCTCTCCGGGACTTTCAGGACCATCTAAGCACTCAGTTTTGAGGAAGACGTTTTCGCTCTGAGCTAAAACTCCCCCATCTCTGAGCTACCAGCAAACTTCAGCTCTCAGGTCCTCTCTGCACGGGAAGCACCTGCAGCCCATCCTGCACCAGAGACCCTGGGAATACCTCCATGGACCCCAGAGATCAGCCCCTTCGGGTGCCTCCTCCAGGCAGTACTCCCCTGGAACCTTGAGCTCTCTCTATTTTCCCAGCTCCATGAGACCATCATGCACTTTCTGGTTCCACCCAGAAGATTCACTTCCCCGGGTAGAACCCTGAGTCCAGAGGAAGTCTCACCCCAGGCATTTCACTTCCCTTGGAGTAACAGATGTGTTGTCCGTGTTCAGAGTCTACACCAGGTCCTCAAGTAAGTGGCCTAAGCTGACAGTTAGCCGTGGGGACAGTGAGTCCCAGACCACTTAACTTTGTCATAAAAGTGCTGTGGATTATTTCTTCTACCTCTATCTACCGGAATATGATTCTTGAATTCTGGGTCAGAATTTATTATTTTTCTATCCCCTAGCAGGCCTCAGGTAAGTGAAAAAGGAGAAAACCCTTGCTATTTCTTTTGTTGTTTGTTTGGGGCTACACCCCTCAGTGCTCAGAGCTTACCTTACATCTGGCTCTGTGCTCAGGGACATTCCTGATAGGGCTCAGGAAACTATAAGGGGTGCCAGGGATTAAACCCAGGTTGACCACATGCAAGGCAAGTATTCTACCCACTGTACTATCACTCCAATCCTTTATTGCTATCTCTTGATCTACCTATCCACAGTTGGTAGTTAATTTTATCTATTTAGGGGGCATGTTTGGGGCCAAACCTGGTAGTGCATCCTGCTCATTGCTAGGGAGTTGCTCCCAGCAGTGTTTGGGGGATCAGGTATCAAACCTGGGACTCCCACATGTTCCAGTCCTTTGAACTGTCTCTCCAGCACGGAAGTTCATTGTAATAAAATATTTTGCTTTTTGGGTCACACCAAGCAATGCTCAGGGGTTAGTCCTGGCTCTGCACTCAGGAATTACTCCTGCCAGTGCTTGGAGGACCATATGGGATGCCAGGGATCGAGCCCAGGTCGGTCATGTACAAGACAAACGCCTTACCCGCTGTGCAAAGATGTTGGGGGACCTGAGTGGCTAGTCTGTGGTTTGCCCAAGTGCCTTACTCCCTAGGGGATAGCACCAGGGAGGGCATCCGTGGTATCGTGGCATCAATCCACTCAAGGTAGAAATGCCCTTTAAGACATAACCCATCGTACTTGGCTGACCCATGGGATCCTGCCCTGGCTTCTCCTCAGTAGTCTTCCTCCTTAGGGAATCTGCTCCTGTTCATTTTAGTTCCTCCTCAACATCTAAGATAGAGCAACCAGGCCACCTCCTAGACCTTTTGTCATACTTAATTGTCCTCTGTACTAAGAGGTCTCTATCGTCTAAATATTCTAATATTCTAATATTTAGAATATTCTAATATCGTCTAAATATTCTAATCTATATAAAATATCTGTTCTCTGCTGGTTTCCCCACTTCCCAGGCCACTTAACCACTTAACCTCTCATCAAAATACTCATGTGCACTCATGCGCACCCGCGTGCGCGCGCGCGCGCGCACGCACACACACACACACACACACACACACACACACGAGGTTCTATATGCCCACACATATAAAAGGCCTTTGGAATGTGAAAAACACAACAGAATATTCCTGCTGCTGCTGTTACTCATGGAGAGACTGTTAAGTTCTCGTGACTGTTTAGCTCTCGTGACAGATCCGGGCCTCTACTGAAGAAGACCAGAGAGTCGTTTACTGGCTCAGAATTTTCTCCTCCTGCACATATGGTCTGTCTGTTGAGAGAGAACCCAGATGTTCCTTTGGCCTGAATGAATTTCTGGTCTCTGGGGAGTTATCTGAGAAAGTCAAGGTCACTGTAGAGGGATGAAGTCAGCACTGGGCACTTACTGACCAGCCACAAACCCACATCATGCAACAATGGGGTGCCAGGGCCTTCTTGGGACATTAAGGATGCAGTGGAGAAGAGCTCTGGGCCCTGTCCTGCCAGGTGGGGTCTGAGCTAAGAAACTCGAGTCTATGAGTCCCCATCCTCACCTGCACCAGATCTTCCTCTGTCAAGAACAAAAAGTGAGGGTCCAAGAATTTTTCACACCAATTTTGAATATCAGGTACCAATTGGCCAAATCTGGATTCAGTTCTGCACCCAAAGGATAGTGCATGGCTGTCCAGACCTTTCCCATTCTACACCCCCCGGGCCAGAGTGATGCCTGCTCTGATAATAGAGCTGCATCTCTCGGACCCTGCTCCAATGAATAAAGACTTGCACCTGGACTCCAGCCACATATTTTAGACCTCTTGGGCTATTCCTTCCTACTCTTGACAGGGAATGCAAGGATTGCCTGCACTAGACTGAAGTGGCCAACATTTAACTCCTACCTCCACCATTTGTTAGCTCAGTGACCCTGGGCAAATTATTTCTTTGCATTCAGCTTCAATTTTCCCATCTCTGAAATGGGATTTAAGCACTAAGATGACTCATTTAGCACAGTAACTGTCATCTTGCAAGTGTCCATTAAAGGTGAACTATAGGGGCTGGAGAGATAGTACAGCGGGTAGGGTGTTTGCCTTGCACATGGCCGACCTGGGTTCGATTCCCAGCACCCCATATGGTCCCCTGAGCACCGCCAGGAATAACTCCTGAGTGCAGAGACAGGAGTAACCCCTGTGCATTGCCAGGTGTGACCCAAAAAGCAAAAAAAAAAAAAGGTGAACTATAGTTTTCCCTTGGGAATCAATAATCTATGTTTATCTAATACTAATTGATCCTTAAAGTCTGCCTACAAGTCAAGATACTCACCAATTCATTGCTGCTGCCTGTCCCCAGCAATGTTGGTGGAACTGAGGCAGGTGTTACAGGCTCTGGGGAGAGCAGAGGTGGTCAAGTTCACCCTCGTTCAGCTAATGGGTCAGTCCCCAATAGCCCATATTTTTCACAAGAATTTAACACACAACTCCCTCAATCCTCACTCAAACTCATTTTACAGATTATGACTTGGAGAGGTGAAGGAATCATTCACTGCTTTTTATATTACCATGTTAGTTGACATTTTATTTTGTGATTATTATGTGCGAAATATGATGCTAAGAACGTTCTTGGACTTTGGTCAGTATGTGACAAGCCTTGCATGTGGCTGACTGTGTTTAGATCCCTGGAACCATCTATGGTTTCCCAGACACAGAGCCAGGAGTATCCCCTGAGGACCTCTGGATGTGGCATATCCCATCCCACTTCCTCAAAAAGGGAAGCACCAGAATAATGATTATACACATGAAAAAGGAGGGGCTCCAAGGGATGAACAGAAGCAGCCAGGTACTGAGTGGCAACTTTGGGAATTGAGAAACAAGTGGGTCAGGGCTGGAGAGAGTACAATGGGTAAAGCGTTTGTCCTACACGCAGCTGACCCGAGTTCAACCCCTGGTGCTACATACGATCCCCTGAGCCCCACCAGGAGTGATCCCTGAGCACTTGGCTGGGAGTAAGCTCTGAGCACCACTGGGTGTGGCCCCCAGGCCAAAAAAAAAAAAAAGAAATAGAGATAGGTCCAAATCCTACAATGCCCCTTACCCCTTAGGAGGAGCGTGGGGACAGGACGCCAGACACTATCAAAGCTGTCAATGGGCATTAATTACCAGGTAATGGCAGAAACTGCTCTGGAATAAAATTCATTTCATTTTCATTTCATCATCCTGTTATTCGTCGATTGCCTCGAGCAGGCCCCAGTAACGTCTCTCTCATCCTAGCCCTGAGATTATATTCAAGGCTATTTAGGAGAATGAGACCCATCATTGTTACTGGTATTTGGCATATTTGGTACGCCA